ACTCTATGCATCTGAAGAAGTGAGCTGTAGCCCACGAAAGCTTATGCTGAAATAAATTTGTTAGTCTCTAAGGTGTCACAAGTACTCCTGTTCTTTTTGTTATATAGCAGAATTTTAGATGGGTTTGTTAGCTCAGGCGTTGGCTACACTTGCAAGTTAGAGCTCATTAAAATAACTGCCACAAGTCTTTTCTTATTCCTCATAGTGGCCTTCCGGGATCAGTGGTCTGGTCTGATCTAAAGTTCTCATTATTACTGCTGTGCTCAGTGATGTTGATGCATTTTCCAAAACACACTTGTTGGGCGTTTAGTGACCCCTGTGAATTTATTTTTCAGTCCTTTTAAAGAGAGAACAAAGCAGTAAAATATACTAAAACAATTTAAAACCTCTAGTTTTTAGTGCTTTCAGCCAATTGGCTTGCTAACGGGCAGTTTCAAAGCCATGCAAATACCTAACTCACTGATACTGTCTGACATGAGATGTAGCCATACTTGGGCCTCAGCAGCATTTGGATGAAATTCAAGGCTTGGAACAGAGAATTTAAAAGTAAAAAAGCTATAAGCTAACATCCTAGTAAATTATATAACTACCTCGTTGAGGTCTTATGCTTTAATTAATTCGTTAGCAAATCCAGCAGTGTTGTATTTGGAAATATAAGGTCTAGCCTGCTTGCTTGCTGTGTTATTTCCTTTTCTTATAGGTTTGTTGTTTATTATAATAGATAATAGATTTATAGCTTTGTATTAGAGTATTTTGGCAGTAACTCAAGGAACCTACAGGCCAAATCCAGTATGATCTAAAGCAGGTTAGCATACATATGTTTGTGACCTTTAGCATAGATGATGAGCTAAGCAAGTTTGTGATCTTTGACATAGATAAGTGGCTTACCAATTGCCCTCTACACTTAATGGGTACACCACAAAGAACATGGAAATAACAACCACCGGTTCAGGCCAGAAATGACACATGTGAGAATGAGCTAATTGACATTAATACCTATGAATATACCAGCCTATAGAGTAAGCGTACCCTATAGTATGTGGGTGAGGAAATTAAATTTGGACATAGAAGGCGGGTACATAGTGCTCAGGTGCTATAAAAGGGGCAAACCACCATATTTAGTTAGGTTTTAGGTTAGTTTTTCTTGGGTCTTTCTATAGCTTTCTAGCTCTCTAGCTTCTCCTAAGTTTTTCATCTTTCACCCGAGAATTTAGGAACCTGGACCATCGAACTCTTTTGGCATGCCACAGTCGAGGCTAGTCCTTTGCCTCTTACTACCAGGTTATCAAGGAAGGGTGTGAGTATGTTAACCTAGGAAGTTTTGTAGTAAATGATATCACATGTACCTCTAAGACAGAACAGTATTATTTCTGTTTTAATTCTGATTGATTACTTTTCCATTTGATTACTATTCTATTTATGTCAATACAAGTCTTTTCTTGTGTTTTGTTCCCAGCATGAGTGTC